GGGAGGGGGGCGGGGACGGGCTCCTCCCGCGGGGCTCACGGCCCACGGCCCCGCCGGGGAGGCTTTCCCCCGGTACGCGGGGCTTTTCCCCCGGGTGCGGGGTCTTACCACCCCGTTATGCAGGTTCTTATCCCCGTTATGCAGGTTCTTAGCCCCGTTATGCGGTTCTTATCCCCGTTATGCGGGTCTTTTCCCCCGTTATGTGGGCTTCCCCCCCCCGTTATGCGGGTCTTTTCCCCGTTTCGCGTTTTTTACCCCCGTTACGCGGGTTTTCCCCGCCGGTATCCTTACGGACGCCCCTTGGCGGGAGGATGCTGCCCCCGGGAGCCGGTGGCGCTCGGGGCCGTGCCGGTGGGTGCCCCGGCCCCGGGCGTCCCCAGCGCCACCTGCAGCCCTGGGGACAGACAGACGCACATCTGTCCGGCCCCGCCAGCTGCTGCCGCAACCGGAGCGAGCCGTTTGTCACACCTTCCACACCGTCACCCGGCCGTGCCCGGGACTGTGTCGCTACCGCTGCACTGAGGGGGGGGACGGGATGGGGACGGACGAAAGGTTTTGTGTCACCCCCGGGAGCCCGGTTTTCCGGCGGGAATTGCTGGGCCCCGCAGCGGGCAGCCCTCCGCCCCCCCGCCCGTCCCCGGGGTCGGTGTCCCCCGCTCAGACCGGGCGACCTCGAACCGTGTTTCCCCGTCGGAGGCGCGGGGCTGGGGAGGAGAAGCGGGGGCTTCTGTTGTGGCGTCTTTTCTTTTCGTGGCCGTAAGTATTTCCAGATGGGGATTCAGCCACCAGACGTAACAATATTTCCATATTTGGTATAGCAGTAGCCCGCATTTTTCACATTTTTCTGCTCTGTTATCCAACCACAAAGCATTCTTGACAGCTTCAGATGTTGTTAAATATAGCCTTAACTTCTGTTCCCAGGGCAGGAAATTCTTTGGAATTCCTGTTTTTCACGCAATCTGTCTATCATGATTTAGGAGAATGGGGCTGGAGGAGCCAACTGGCGTTATCCTGCCGCTCGCTCCTCTAGTGAAAAAAGCCCAGCAGTTGGGGCTGCTCCCCAACGGCGTTACAATAAGTCCCCATTCCAAGGATTTTTCTTTGCAAATGAGATTATTGTTCTTAACACAAGTTTGGGGGTTTGGTGCTTTGGGTTTGGTTGTTTTTTTGGTTTTTTTTGGTCGCCTTCAAGGCTGGCTGGTGGAGGAGCAGAGCCAGAGGAAAGGCGAAACTTTGCAAAAAAAAAAAAAAACCAAAAAACCCAAAACCAACCCCAACCCTGGGGCAGAGCCAAAGGAAAGGCGAAACTTTGAAAAAAAAAAAAAAAACCCAAAAACCCCCAAACCAACCCCAACCTCTCCAAAGCCCACGGAAAGCGGAGGGAGGGGGTGGGGGGGCGAAGGGGGCGAGGGAGACAGTGGAGAGGGAGGGGATGCGAAGAGGAGGGGGCTGCCATTCACCTGCCCGCGCCGCCTGTCCGTGCAGCCAGCTCCGCCGGGACCGGCGTTTCGGGACGGGGGAGGCGGCAGGGAGCCCCTCCGCTGCCCGGAGGAGACAAGCCCGGAACGTCTCGTCGCCCTCCCGGTGCCCACGGCCGAAGGCGGGGGTGACAGCCGGGACCGCGCCGCCGGAACCGAGCGCACGGATGGCCGCCGGG